TAATTCAATAAGGCCCAATAGATATCGTCCTAAGAAGAGACGATTAAAAATGATTACTATCAAATTGAGTTTTATACGGTTAACCTATAAGAACTAGTTTAATGATGAATCTCGAGAGTGTGAGCTAATGTAACGAGTAAAATTGAATCGAGAAGAAAAGTCAAATGTTGAATAAATTTGGGCCAAAATAAAAAGATCAAATTGTGGGCAACCGAGAAGAGAGGAATTGGGCTAAACCCCAATCTACTACTGCTCGGTCTCTCAAGAGGCACGTGTTTTGCATTCCTCCGACTAATGGTATCAAACGGTTTCATTTTTTACCTAATTGCAGGAAAAAGGCTAGAAACCCTAGTTACCGTTCAATTCTCTGTGATAACTTAAATATTAAAATTGGTGTGCAAACAAGTTGACTATCATTGTCACGTGGAGCTCAGCAGCTATTTGGATTTGGGCAAAAATCAATTTGTTTCGTCAAAATTTCTATGGTTTTCACATTTATTAAAAAAAAAAAAAAAAAGTTTTTAAGAAACGATATCTTACTTTCATCCAACATCGTGGTGCATTAGTTTGCCACTTTGACAGACCAACGTGTTGTCAAGGTCTATAATGATCGACTCGTACTCCAACATTGTTAGGTGATTAAATTAAAAAATATATTTTAAAATAATATATATAAATTCATCTATAATTAGATTTATTGAGCAGGAAACAATAATAAATTTTGCATTAAATATCAATGCAAAAAAGAAAATTGCATTAATTATTTCACCTTCTCCTCTTTGCGTAACACTGATTTTTATTTAATTCATCCTTCATCACATGGAAGCTGATTTTTTTAAAAATAAAATAAAATAATTAATTTTGTTAAATATGGAAAATTTTAAATTTAATATTTATAAGCAAGGTTGAAAGTCTATCAATACGACATTCTTTTAATAGAATTAAATAATAAACTCATATAATATGTGGGCTAAATATAGAGATGACACGAGTTTATTATATTTTTTATAATATTTAAAATGTTTTTATTGCTTTTTATTTTTTATTTTTTTATTTTATATTGTATACAATGCCTTAACTCACCGTCCAATTTGGACCCTAAAATAAATAAATAAATAATTACAAAAGGGTATTATAATTTCAAGAAAATTGAATTAAATCCGATTTTATTTTATCGAACTATAAATATTATTTTTAAAGTTTTAAGTTTTATTAAATTCTAATTTTCTTAGAAAAAATAATATTTAAATATAATTTTGTTAATTTTTAATTCAACACGTCATAAAACGAGTTGGGTGAGGGATTATATATGCCTTTTTAAAGTTAGTGCTTAATGGATGATTATGTGTTTAATTAAGTTAGGATTTAAGTAATGTTATTCCGACAGGTAACAACTAGCTAATTGAAAATAACAGCCACTAAGCAGCCGACACGTAATTAAATGCCATTAAAATCCCTCACCCGCTCAAACCCTTCGTCCCCTCTTTAAACCCCAAATTTTCTCCCCCCTTTCTCCTCCGTCAAACAAATCCCTTCTCCTTCCGCCATGGTCTCCGGCGACAATGAACAGAGCCTCGTCCACAACTTCCTCGTCTCTTCCGTCGGCCCTGGCTACTCGATCGGATCCGACAACGCCTATCACTTATCCGGCCTCGATTTGGCGATGAAGCTCCATTACATCCACGGAATCTACTTCTTCGATTCCGAGGCCAGCCGGTCGCTGACGGTACCGCAGATTAAATCGGCGACGTTCGATTTGTTCAACGAGTACTACATCACCTGCGGCCGTCTCCGTCAGGCGGATTCCGGCCGGCCGTTCATAAAGTGTAATGACTGCGGCGCTAGGTTTATTGAAGCAGAGTGCCGTATGACGGTGGCGGAATGGCTAGAAACGACTGGAGACGATTGTTCGTCTCTGAAATCGCTGATTCCACAGAAGAATATCGGACCGGAATTGCAGTTTTCGCCGCTCATTTATATACAGGTTCGTGGTTTGATTCAGATATCGTTTATTTTTAAATGAATTTAATGAGTTTATTCTGTCTTTTCTGCACTATGTTTAATAACTATAGTACTGACGGAGTTCGTGAATTTAGACCTCCAAATCTCTGAGGTGAATTCCTACTTCCAATGAATCATTACTGTCTAGAAATCTCTCTCTACCATATGTGTTTTAGAATTGTAAAGCTGGCTTCTATATATAACTGGACAAATTTGACAATATGTGCTAGTAGTAAGTTGAGTAATTACGTATTGCTTGTTGATTCGAGTATTTATTATATAATTGACCAACTAAATAAAATAGAAAATAGTAACACAAATATCATATTCATAAAAAGAAATAACGTAAAGTATTATATTTGTTTTAATTTTATGATTTTCGTTATCAAAATTAATGCATATGATGTACGTGTAGCATATAACAAAAACGTTATTTTCTCTTATATTAAAACCAAGCTTCCAGCTGTGTGAAGTTGATCTTCCGTGCATTTAGAATAAATTTTTTAGTTGAACAACTTTTTTCAAGTTAGAACATTTAGTTTCTTACTCGAGAAATGTTATTATTTATTTATTTACTTATTTGATGTATAAAATTAGAATACAAAATCTTGAACTTTATAGGATTTATTTGGTTGGTCGGTCGGTTTCTTAAGCTAACTTTCTTTGGTCCATAAGATTGAAACCGGTGTCTAATTAGTCCCTGAATAAAAAAATACATAAATAAATAATATTATTTTTAAAAATCATATAGCAATATGATTCAAAAAATCTTATAGCAATATAATTCAAAAAAAACCAAAATGTTATTTAAATTTTTTTTTAAGAAAAAAAAATTAAAGCCTATATTTAATCCAATTTAAGTATAATAGTAGTGTTGATATTTTAAATAATACAGTATTTAATTTATTAAATTCTATTTTAGCCGTTTTAAAAATATAAATGAAAACTTAAAAGACAAAGTTAATATCTACTAATAGTAAGCTTGAATTGTTACCGTATATATATATAATATATATATATATATAGGATCGCGATTAAAAACTACGCTCGTTATTTCTATTTTCCACTTTTTCATAAATTATTAGAAGCTTTTATAGGAAATTATAGGAAATGGGAATAATTTATTTCCATTAGTTGTGGTAGTAAATAATGATGGGTTTGTAGTTGGGAGATATGTAGCCTTATTTTATACATACATATATATATATATATATATATATATATATATATATATATATATATATATATATATTCCAAGTTTTATTTATTTATTTATTATGTCATTATTTTAAATATATAAATACAAGGGTGAGTACGAGGATTAATTTAGTGTACAAAATATTAATTATTTTATTAAGACATGTTGTAATCAGCTGATTTAAATTACATTTGATTGGCTTAAAATTATTTTATTTATTTATTTGGTTAATTTAACTTATTTATAGGTGACGAGGTTCAAGTGTCAAGGCTTCTCAATTGGGCTGAGCTGGTCCCACATCCTTAGCGACGCCTTCTCCGCCGCCGTTTTCATGAACGCTCTCACCGAACTCCTCTTCGGCGGCGCCCCCTGCGCCGTCACACCACCTCCGCCACTCGCCGTTGACACGATCACGAAAATTTCTTCGCCGAAACCTCCACTCTCCGCTGCCGCCAAGCCTCCACTTTCCATCCGACGAGTCGACCCAGTTGGCGAAAATTGGATTCCGACCAACAACTGCAAAATGGAATCATTTTCCTTCGAATTAAACGCGACCCAGTTGGCTAAATTACAGACCCAGATGCCCCACCTAACCCCACCTTTCGAATCTATCTCCGCCGTCCTTTGGCAGTCCATAGCCAAGCTCCGGCGAGGCTCCGAACCCACGACGGTGACTCTCTGCAAACTCAACGCTATTAAACCAAAGGGGAAGATAACTGGGAACGCCCAAAAGATCAGCACGGTCAAATTCACCGCCGCCGCAATCTCCGCCGCTGATCGGAGGGAGCTGGCTGAGCTTCTGGTGGATAACGCAGGGGAGGAAGAAAATAAGCTAATTGAGGATGCTGTGGATAGGGATGATGGAGTGAGCGATTTCATTGTTTATGGAGCGAATTTGACATTCGTGAAATGGGATGAACCTGATTTATATGGAGATGGGATGGAATTGAATTCTGAGAGGCCCAAATTTGTGTACTACACCCTGCACGGCGTTGGGGACAGTGGCGTGGTGGTGGTGGTTCCCGGGTCCGGCGACGACGGCGGCCGCAAAGGGAGGTTGGTGACTGTAATTCTGCCGGAGAATGAAGTGGTTGAGCTGAAGGCTGAGTTGATGGCCAATGGAATGGTCGTATAGAAACGTAAGGAATTCGTGAAATTACGGTCTTTATATGTCAAAGATAAGAAAAGGTCACCACCATTATAATAGTGGTGCTTCTTTCACGTATGTTTATGTACAAGTTATGAGTGTTGACTTTATGAATTGGTGTATTTTTAAGGGCTTGGAAATATCAATTTTAATTATATAAGAGAAAATCTCAACGAGATCCAAGATCGAAAAACCGACCTACCAACCTGCTCGACATACATAGTGGGATAAGGACATCCGAGATCAAGATCGAAAATCCAACCACCAACCACCAATCCCGCTCGACATACTTAGTGGGAGAAGGACATCCAAGATCAAGATCAAGATCAGAAAGCAGACCACCAGCCCCACTTACCATATTTAGTGGAAGAAGGACATCCGAGATCAAAATCAAGAAGCCAACCACCAACCCCCCTCGACGTACTTAACGTAGCTTTTACTAGTTTAAACCGTAAGTTCTGGACGCACAGGTAGAAAGGGATATGCCTCGACCAAGAGATAAAAGGTTAAGATCCTCCACCGTGCTTGCTCGGGGCGTTTTATCTTATGAGCAACAAACAAGTAGGAATGAAAACTAAAAGGCAGGAGGAGGGTGATGGGGATGAACGAATTAGCACTACTTTTCCTTTTTCCCTCTATCTTACATTTGTGTAAGTAAAAAGTTGAGTTGTATGATACAAATCAAAATTGTGGAGTTGTAAAGACCACATCTAATTCCTTTCACATTCTCAATTAGAAAGTGCTTTTTTTCAGCTCCAACCAAATTATAAATAAAATACCACAAGCTCACACCTCTCTCTCTCTCTCTCTCTCTCTCTCTCTCTCTCTCTCTGCAGGAAAAAACACCTCCCAGAGCTACCTTTATGAATTTTCTCATTTCAATGAATTAGTTATTTAATGTCCTAACCCAAAAACCACCTCCCGTACCTGGCCGCCCCGTGTCACCGTCATGCTTGTCCAAGAAAAAGGCGATTGTGACACCCCGCCAGCACCCATCAATGATCAACAAGAGCATTCCACAGCTGCTGCTGTTCCAATCAACAATTTGATAGGAAGATGATCAAACTCACATGTCCAGCCCCAGCGAGCCAGCCAGCTGCCAGAACCAAGCAAGAATGTGAATGTAGTTGAGTAATCGAAAAACTCCATACCTAGCTGGCTGTTGGTGAACCACAACCCCAACACGATTCCAACGTGGGTCGACCCCGAGTTGAGTCAAGTCAAGTCAAGTTGGTAAAAAATGCCCAATCATGTGAGACCATCAGTAGGGAATAACATAAGGCAGAGCATAAACATCAGATGGTTCTATCTGCATCGCCTCGGCCCATACCTGCAGCATTTCCTTGGCTTCTGAAGCTTCCAACTCGGGCTTCATCGCTTGGGAATTATTACTGGTAAATAACCAATCCTGGTTATCAGAGTCCGACAATTCCTCCATTTTCGGAACTGAATATACCACACTCAGGAACTTGGAATCTGGATGGGGTGATTTTTTATGTATTGCAGTAGGTTGAGGTTGAAGTTGAAGTTGAGGTTGAGGTTGAGGTTGAGATTGAGGATGATCATCCTGTTCGCTTGTCTTGTGTTTCAGAGAGGCGGGCGGGTGGTGAGCTTCAATAATGCCATTTATCTTACGTTCTTTACTAAACAAAATAACGTCATTTGCTTCCACGGTCTGTCTCTCTGAAGGAGGCAAGGGGGAAGCCAAGCACGGTTCGAGTATCCTTCCATTTTCCTTCAATGGATGAGAAGCTGGCCTCAACAACTTACTGGATCTGTTGTCAATTGCTGAAAGAACATTAAGAAAACTATTTTGAGAGCTAAAAAAGCCAACAGTATAAACTACAACTTTAAACAAACAGATCCATTGCCAAATAATTACGTGGTTCGTTCGTTTATATGAATAAACTCACCGTGCAAGACTCCATTAGGCTCAAACGCTTTCCGTTTCTTAATTAGATTTTCTTCAACTGCAGCACCAATATTGCTGTCAGGAAGTTGTGATGTATTTGTGTCTGTAGAATGCCTACCTATGAGGTTATCCTTAGTGATCTCTTTTGTTTTATCTACCACTGCATTCTTCTCTTCCTCCTCTTTCTGCTTCGCCTTCTTCTCCTTCTTCTCCTTCGCCTTCTTCTCCTTCTTCTCCTTCGCCTTCTTTTCTTTCTTCTTCTCTTTATCGGTCGCTTTATCGTTTGATCGTCCTTTTTTCTCTTTATCTTTATCCTTGTGCTTGCTCCCTCGTTTTGCTTCGCCTTCTTTCGGTCTGATTTTATCATTTGTTTCTTTCCTTTTCTCCGCAATTTTCTCTGCTGATTCAACGGTTGCATTCGCAGTCGTAGTTGTAGTTGCAGTGAAACTTGGGACCGTAGAATCTCCACTGAATCTTTCGTCGTGTCTAATTCCTTGACCGTTGTATTTTCCTTGATCAATTGTCTTGTTCTTGATATGTTCCTTATTACCTTCAAACAAGATCTCAGAACTCCTAGCCACCTGTGTGGCCACTCCATCGTCCCTTTTCGGTTGTGCAACAGCAAGTTTCTCGACCTTTGCAGTTCCACTGTCCTCGATTCTCCTCCCCACCTCCGGCACCAACTTCGAGTTCTTCGTCTCCTTAGGAAGAACAGTATTCTGACTAATCTTATTTCCGACGTAAGAATCAAGTTTCCCAGAATGCTTCTCCTCTTGGATACTATTATGTTTGATTCTAACAACTTCCTCTCCATTTTGACTCTTGATTTTCCCAGAAGATCTACTGTCCTCCAAGGCATGTGGTGCTTTCTCCTTCTCCTTCTCCTTATCCCTTTCCTTCTTTTTGTCACGATCTTTATTTTTGTCTTTCTTTTCCCGGCGTTTCTCCTCACTTTTATCCTTATCTCTTTTTTCTTTACCCTCTTTCTTCTCCTTCTCTTTTTTCTCCTTTTTATGTTTTTTCTCTTTGCTCTTCTCCTGCAAATCAGAAAGAAAAGAATGAATATTAGAGTAATATCTTTCCGAAACAAGCGAAAACCAAGCACGCATTGTTTTAAGCTGGAAACGAAACAAGACAAATAGAAACTAATATGCACGTCTATAATTAAACGAAATGGTGCTACAAGATATTGTCAAGAAAGAAAATAGTAAAGATTACGAGGAAATCGTCGAACATCAACACACCACATCACCAGAGTAGTTATGAACCAGTGCACAAGAGAGACCTAGACGTCGTTTGAGCTACACAAAATCATCTCTCACAATTTCACAAAACTCAATCAAATGTGTTGTGCTTCCAACAAATCCTTTGAATCTCACGAAGGCCTAAAACCATGCATGGAGCTCAAGATAAGTTGAATGTTTTAGATCGACGCTTATAGTGCAAGAATTGCGAAACAAAAACATGAAAACATGTGCAAACTCGAAAAAATATGGAACAAAGTGAGGAATTGATGTCTATTGATGTATGGGGTCCGAGTCTTCGGAAGCTTGAAACAAGGATCAAAATGAGGATAGAGATTTGTCAAGGAAATGGAAGCATTCTGGCACGGGATTACCTTTAGCAAATATGATCTCAAGCGAATAAGATGGAATTCGATGTCAGCTTACTGGAGAAGTGCTCTTTATACTTTTTAGATGGTTCTTTGGATAGAGCCCACGCTATAGTGACAAAAAAGAAAAGATCCAAACAAAATTAAGTTCTTCATTTCGACTCTATCGGTAGTCTAATTCCCTATAACCCTGTCTTAATAGGCGCCGATTATGTACGAAAGCTCCTGAAGGCATATCTATCTCTTCTTTCACAGCGTTCTTGTTCTGCATGCAACAAGGGTGGCACCATGGAACATAAATTTTTAGGGGTAGACAAGTGACAACTAAGGGCCAAAAGGTTTTTGATTTTCTGCATCTCTAACAAAGACTTCCATTAAGGGAAAAGAAAATGGAAGTGTAACTTGCTTGGATCTTGTCTAATTCATTGAGTTGGCACTAGACAAGGATCAAATAAAACTGTCAACCCCTTCACCTGTTCAAATTTCGAAGCGAAGTCTCCCTAAATCTCAAGTTTATACAGTATGGCACCCACAAAGGCGCGTGCTCCAAAGTTTGTTACGAATAAGAGTTCGAAGCAGATCTCATAAACCAACCCACAAAATCCAGTAAAACTTTTGCAGTTCTAAAGACTGTAATCTAAAGGAGCAAATCAAATATGAAATCTGAATTAGAAAGTAAAACTTCAATTCTAGAATACCAAAGGATTAACACTGGAAAGAGAAAAACAAAAGATGTGCCTACATACAACCCATGTCTCCAGTTCCTTCCTACCACCCAAAGCTCCAAAGACAACCCATGTCCGCCTATACATCTCCATAAAACATTAGAGATAAGAAATCAAAACAATACTCAATCTGTACATCCATCAGTTTGTAAATATATACTCCCCAATCAGTTCATCGGTGTTTAAAGAAGAAATACAAGAAGAAAATATGCTGTTACATAAAATAAATCATTGCAAACAGATCTTTTTAAAACATAATCTAACTATGCAATCATGGCTGTTATCAATGACAGGAAGGAATGCATTGAAAATTTGCAGTCATTAAAATTAACGTCCTCAACATCAACACAGCCCTAACATCGTGAAGATATGCAGGCACAAATACAATAAAAAAGGGAAACAATAAGGATAATTTATGTGTGGATGTACATTAAAAATTTGGGTCTACGAATCAGGCAGGTTTAAGTTTCGTTAGAGAGGGCAGAAAAATTATAAACTGTTGGCAGAAACCTTCCTCTACCCCAAACAAAGTCAGCCTTTTCAGGGTTAGTAAAAATATGAAGGCATCATCCTCATCTCGTCATTTCAATAACTTCTCCAAAAGCAAGGCTCAACTTCATCTCACTGACCACTCATGCTTTCAATTTTTTACTTCTCATTTCATGCCCGTATCTCTCTCAATCTCTAAATTCTTCCCACAGTGATTCATCCTTCTCTCTTCACACAAAACTGGTCAGATTTGCAATTGAGTTGTGCATGACATTCAATATTCCATATCATGTTCTATATTCAAGCTTCATTTGTAACTTCCAATAGAATGCTTTGAGGACCTTAGGATTCTCATTTGAAACTAATGTTTGGTTTGGTTATACACTATTTCTTTTCTCATGCTAACTTCACATGAGGACATTATGGTTGTCGTTTGAATGTGCATACCGAAAATGGAATTGGTCTTCTTAGTCACCAACCAAACAAGCCTATGGGGACTTTATCCTTATTCCATACAATATAGTTAACAAAAGGGAAGTCCTCTACACATGGAAAATGTTAGCTAAAGATCTGGAAGGGAGATTAATAAGTGAAAATTCCCAAAGAATTCAAAAGACCAACAAATCAAAAAATAAATAGAATCCCAGTGAAATTGGGCCGATGAGGAATCAAATCTGAAGTTTTACTATCATTAAGATTCCTTCGGAAGAAATTGAAACTTCCCATCGAAGACGCGGAAGAATTCTTGTGTCTCAAACTTATGCTGCTGAAAGAGATGGAAGAGAAAACTCTCCCATTTAAACAGCTCCCCAACAAAAAATGCTAAGAAAAATTATTGGGAAATTTTTGGATCACTGATATAATGAGACATCCAGTGCCATGATTCAAAGCTGAAAGATCTGGTCACACCCCACACTTGAAATGCCAAATGCCAAATAACATGTATAAATATATGTCAAAGTAGAAGAGCATTTTCCCAAAAATATCATTCAGAAAAAAAACCAGAAACATCCATCAAGACAACAAAAGTCTACATCAAACAGAGAACCAAAAACAAGATAATATTTTCAAATACACGGTCAACTGCTCAACAGTATCAGGAAACACTTTCATCATTGTCACACTAGAAAAGTGAGAAGCATAGATAGCCATCCACAGCTGCCATTCATCCGAAGAAACACGTGAATGTGGCAGAAGTATCTTTTAGATTCTCAAGTCATACAAGAACACCCCAAAAGAAGAACAGATACAAACAAACAAAACAAAACAAAATATAAGAAGGAAAATGACTAGCAGAGAGCCTGCTCGTAAAACATCTAATGAGCTCAAATCTATCAAAAAAAGCCAATGGCATACACAGTTAACTCAAGATTCACTAACATCCATGCTTTTAATCTCACAACATAATAATTGTTCATTTTACGTGGGACGCGTGGAGTCTTCATGCAGAATAATATTCGGCTATCAAGAAGCGACAATGAATCTAGCAGTTTATAAAACCAGTAAGTCTTACAGAAAATAAAAGGATCATTTGATTCATCTAAATGCCAAACAAGTACAGTCATTTAAACCTTGATGATGATTGTGAAATAATACCCAATGAACCTCGCAAATGAAGTTATAGTAGGATGCTCCACCAAATATATCATTAGAGTACTATAATGTATATTATATGTATTAGAAGACGAGGAAAGTTATAAACCTTTTTTAGTAGGTCCGCATCCTCTGCCCTAGATTTCTTCTCATATCCTGGTGGCGGAAATGGAAAACAGCGCGACATTGCAGAGTATCTAGACAAAAAACAAGAGCTCTCTCCACGGGCGAAAATGCTGTAACTACCTTCCAGAAGCACTGTTCCGAAAAGGGAACGAACAAGAAACTAAGCTGCTGTCCATGCACCATGTCCTCGCATTCATTTCCAGCTTCAATATTCCTCCATATGCTTCTTAGTCAATCCAGAAATTGCAATGTCCAAACCTCAGAGAACTCTCCCACTTATAAACACTATAAACACGAGTACAGGAATAATAAGTACAGGCCAAGAGATATTTCCAAATTCTCAAAAATAACAAGAGCCAACTCTGCCACTTGACTAAATGAATTCTAACCAAGTTCCCAGATATCAGAGAAATCCTAAATACGAAAGGGCGAAATCAACTGAAACGCAGATAAAAATAACTCCTAAGCAACAAATTAGCTCTCCCGTTCGGCTCGTGGAAAATGTCGATGATTCAAAGCAATGGTCTCTTGATTTTCCTCCGGGGGCGAATTATTAGCTCCTCTTTAAACCAACAGAACCTCCTAATTAGAGATGAAAAACCTAAAACTGTATTGAAAATCCCATGTAATCCAAGAAATTGATTGGGTTGAAACTGTTCACTGCCAAAAACAAGTCTATAATGTGCAATCCTCTTCCATGATCAGACCAGCAAAGTTCACTTCATTCTAGTGGTACGTTACAGTTACAGAATCGCGGCCTCGACGAAGTACAGACTAAAACCCGAATCCCAGGAAAGATCGGAGCAGCAGCCCATTCAAGAGAAAGCGCGATGACCCAGTCATAATCATACTTTCAATCCATAGTCGGTACCAAACCCTAATTAGTGCGAAACCGATAAATTGGAGAGCCACCCAGTTACGATCCGTCAAAACCCTAGAAAATCCACCGAATACATGAGCACATAGCCAGTAGCAAAACCCTAATTTTGATTCCTCAAAACAAAACGAAACGAGAATCGGAAGAAATCCTTTTCGAAAACAAAGAAATATACAGAAAGAATCAAAACCCCTGAAAAACAATACGTATGCAATTACAGGGTATCGATGAAAAGGGTAAAAGCAGCTCGATTCAACCCGATGACGAACAAATTCCAAGGGGAAAATCAAGTGTGTCGATGAAAGAAAGTGATTTGAAAATTGGGTAATGAGATTACCTTGTCCGCTACAGAGTGGGCAATGTAGAAGGACAAGATCTCTCTCTCGAATCTCGCTCAAACAGAGATTAACCAGAAACAGAAGGCACAGAAAAGGGAGACAGAAAACAATCAAAATTTCGAAGAAAAATAGCAGTTTGCAGCTCTAGATTATCTCTTCTTCTTCTTGTTCTTCCTCTTCTTCTTCTGTGTGAAGAGATTTCAGTGTCTTTTAAGTGTAAAAATTGGGGGTTTCTTCTACTGTGTTCTTCGTTTTCTCTTGGGGTGTATTTCCGTCTCTCTGAGTTCCCCCAACTATTCTGAAGAACAATATGAGAAACGATTTGAGAATGCCTCAAAACTCCCTTCTTCTTACTGATTACGAGTTTTTATTTCTCTCTCTCTTTTTTTTTTTTTTTTTTTTTTTTTTTTTTTTTTTTTTTTTTTTTTTTTTTTTTTTTTTTTTTT